AATGGTAATTTATAATCAGTCACAAGAACGTCGAATCTGAATCACTTGAAAAACACGGGGGGTGCTTAACTTTTTCCAGGTGTATATATGTGCAAATTATCATTTTGATTTTTTTAAATATGATCGCACAAGAGACCAAAACATACATTTTTGGGATGATCTTAGAGGACTAAATAAAACAAAATGAAAAATGTGTCAGGGCGTATTGGACCAAGGTATAACCCTACCAAGTTTCAAGTCAATTCGGCGAGAAATTAAGGAATGGGGATCGATTGAAAAAAATGTTTGGAAAAATAATAAAATGAGAAGAAACAATATAAAAACAGCATGCCTTTCTACCGAAACATAATTCGAGTTAATACTAACGACGCTACTTATGTTTTATAGCATTAACATGGAAATATATAAATGTGTAACATGGCAATGTGATCGAACTAAAATATTTTCTTAAAAGGTATCGAGCACATATTGTTAGAAATATTAATTTATGGTGAAGTAAAAATAAATAATGAAAAATGGAAACTAAAGATAAATTAGCAAGCACTTTTCCACAATTCCACTGTTTTGTATCAGTAATCTTTTCTTTCTGATTAAACTGTTTAAGGGCGTCACGCGATTATTAATGGATTCGTTGGATATTAGTGGATTCAAAAAAATTTCATAATCCCACAACTATTTATAAGGAATTTTTTGTAAACATTTTAATACTTTAAATGTTAACTATTTCCAGCTGTAAATTTCTGGCGTACGAGGACCAAGTAAAATATTCTTATATGTTATTCAATGCTCTTACATTTGTCTTCAACATCACTTAATATTTTCTCTACTAATTTGTACATAATATTTTTAACCTTCATTTATAAAAGGTATTGAGATTTAAGATTGTCAGATGTCAGCTTTATTAAGTAAATCCGAGGGTGGATGAAAGGTTGGAACTTATTAAATGTTATCTTATTTGTATAGTAATGTATTGTTCAAATTTACAGTGTAAGGATGTTATTGAAAAAAATGTTATATAACCCCTTAACGTGCCAAAAGGATGCCGCGTCAATGGGGGTCACCACGTGAGAAGAGATAAAAAGACGCTGCCAGCATGTTACCTAACTATTACGTAATATACACCTGGCTATCACATAACTATTGCATAGTAGACATCTGAGTATTACGTAAAGTATTGTATAATACACTGATACCAAACAGCACAGTTATCAATGGGAGGGGGGATATCATGGTTCGATTCTAGGAGGCCTGATACTGTAGGTGGACGGTGTTACTAAAGTCGGATGCTGTTACTATAGGCGAACGGTGATACTTAGGTCTTCCAGGTGTATTGTGTTATTATAGGCGGATGCTGTTACTATTACAAGGACTATAGGCGTTACTAGGTTTATTGTGTGTCTTACAAAAGCAGAAATTATTCATTAGGATTGCATACAGATTTCAATTTATGTTCATATATTTAATTAAGTATGTTTTACAAAGGTGGATAACGCTACTAGGCGGGCGATGCTACTAAGGTCCTATAGGCGGATGATCTTACCAGATGTATTGTGCATGGGATTTACAAAGGATGATGGTGCTACTATACTTTCATAAAACAGCATACAGATTTCAACTTACATTTAACTGCGTACGTTTTTTATAAAGGTTGGTAGCAAATATTGAACAAGACAGCCGATTATGTTGTAACATACTTACTGATTATAGTTTTAGTTTCTATATCTAGTCCTACCTTTTACTATTATTATCCTGAAAAGGACGCTTATTTAAATATCATGCAATAACTTAAAACTTACACTTTCACTAGTCTGTCTTTATACTACCCATATAACTATGTTCTTGACATTCAAATACAATTTTGACAAATGAACATAACCGAAAATGAACCTTTAGTTATAAATCAAGTGATTATTTCAAAAATATTTGATAAGATAAACTATCTTTTCGCTTAAAAATTATACAAA